GGTTAGTGGGTAAAATAATAATTATATTTCCTTAACTGTAAGTACAAGCTAACTAGAGACTACCGTCCTGGGGTCCTATCAATTTAAGTGACTTAACGACTACGGCGGCGCGGTACTTATATCTACGGTTCCTTATGTCTACGGTTACTTATGGTTACGGCGCGGTACTTAATCTTGCGGTAATATTATCGGTGGTCGCGAGACGGTTACGGCGCAGCACGGTCGCGTTTTCTACAGTTCGGAGCGGCGGAGATAGCGGGATATGCTGGGTAGGTCGTTTGATGCCTTCATGGGTGGACGGCCGTAGACACAACCCGTCCTGTACCCAGGCAGTAAGAAGACCGTGATCCGGTGGACGCCGTAGAGACGTATACGCCCGGTCCGGCGGTCGGGAAGCCGCCGAGAGAGAACTCTCTCGGCCGTGACCAAGGAGACAGCGGACTGTATCGGAGGACGGCCGTAGACACAACCCGTCCTGCCGAACGCTGCTGGAGGAGTGTTCGGATTCCAAAAATGAAGTTGATCATATCTCGTTGTCGCTCGTCGTGAGACTTGCTTCGGAGGATAGATCTGCTTCTATCGCCTCGCGGCCCGGTATATCAATAATCGCGAGGCCAGTTGCCTCGCGAGTTCGCGGTGCGCGCGGTCGCCACCTATCGGTGGCGCCGGTACTAGCGCGCGCTGGCGGGGCCCGCGGTTTCGCGGCCTCGTACCCCTTACACAGCTAATGCAGAATCGTTTGTAGTTGTTTTTTGTGATTTCCCTTTCGTTTGTAATTGAATAGTTTAAAAGTTACAGGCAATTGTTTATACGCTTAAAGGGGCAAAGTAGTTGTTATATGCGGATTCCAAATCACTAGCGTCACCTTTTTTTTTGTTGACTCAGCAGTAATTTGACACCGTCAGCATAAATGTGCTACCCCCACACCCCATGACCTTGAACTGAAATTTGACACCACCGTCAGCAGAAATATGATACCCCCCGACAAGCCCCACCCCTCCCCCGCCCCATAACCACCCCCTTAGCAGAAATATCCACCCTATGACAACCCCCTCCCCATAACAACCCCCTCAGCAGAAATACCCACCCTAAGACAACCCCCACAACCATCAGCAGAAATATGATACCCCACCCCCATGACCTTGAACTATTTCTGTCTTATCGAAGGACGACACAAGGCCCCACCGACTTTTTCTATGCCTTGGAAATGTGATTTTTTGTTGGCGCAGCAAATCTGACGCTGCAATTCGCGACTATAGAAGGTAGAGGTTTTGCTCATGACCTTGAACGAGTTTTTCTACGTCTTGGAAATGCGGTGTTTTTTGTTGACGTTGCAGAGTGAACAGCAATTAAACACCTTCGTCGATGACAGCCCCACTTTAATAAAATGGGAGAAAATTGGCAATGTGCGTCATATGTAGTTTGACAATTAGAAGTGCAAGGATATTTAATGCGTTTGTGGAAAAGAGAAATGGAGGCCACGTTACTGCGGAAACTCGAACGCATTATCGAATTATTGGCTCAGCGGGCGATAAACATCAATACCGAAGATGAGCGTTGTGATTGCTTGATGCAATGTGACCAATGCCTCGAATTGATAGACGAGCGATTACAAATGGGAGACGATTTATCATTCGAAGGATGGCAAGATATAGAAGCATACAAAGAAAGAATCGACGCCTTGCATAGGGTATTGTATCGTGACAATGATCATCCTAGTGGTCAAAAGGCAATATTAATAAACGAACTTGCTTGTATAGAACAACTTTTGACACAACGTATTGCAGCCATAAGTAGTAACGACGACGGAAACGCATGTCTAGTGCAATGCAATCAATGCATTGATTTAATGATAGAGCGATTGCAACTCGGAAAGGACTTATCAACTGGTTTGAAGAATAGTTTAACAGCCAGGATAACGAGATTTAAATCGTTAAGAGCAGAGTTACACGTATCTGTAAAAATAGGCGAAGGTCAAAGGAGAACAGATGCTGAATCACATGCATCATCATCATCTCTTATCTGGGAGGATGTAGAATCAGCTTTCCATAACCGGATAACTACAGGAATTATAATCAACACCGAGCATATTGAACCACTAAACTTTTTGGAAGATGCTAGAAAAATAGTATTCCAACGTCTAGCGGAAGTTTTCCAAAATCATTCCTGCATAAAAGTGAATACGGTGTTGTATGCGGAGTTTACCGCTAATAATCAAACTGTCAAAGAAGATTTATGGACAGAACGTTGGAAAAGAGAGTCAATCGTATCGTTATTGGTAAATATAACCTGAGATCTTCTACAATGTCATTCACGAAATTATCTTTAACAATTATACTAGATAATATTAATTAACGGTAGTCCGAAAATGTAGTATATTAACAACATTTTATTTTACTGATAATCTGGAGTACTTTCTATTTATTGAACGAGGAGAGGTGCTTATCATGGTAGATAAGTCGTTATAAAAATGACATAATGGAATAATAAAAACTGAAAAAAACACACGCATTTTCAAGAATGTTCCTTTTCCACATTGGACACACTATTATTATTGTAATAACATTATTGACATTATAGACAACAAATCAGGCACCTTTTTACGAGCATTGGTTGAACTTTATTTTGAGAGACGTTAAATTTTTAACTGTTTTTGACACTTCAGTAGTATCTAATGTGTAGAATCCAAAAATATCGATTGTATGCTATTATTATGCTATTATGATATTAAATCTATTAATCCAAATACACATCCATGTACATTTATTTCACGATCCGATCTTATCAACAGTATTTAACACGTAAATTCCAATAACACTAATTTTATGCTTTGGAAACCACTCCTTCTTTTGACACTTTGATAATACTCGGTTGGAAAATTCGTAATTTATATACTGTAACGACCCAGTGATAGGTACGTCACTGCACCGACGTATAGGGAGAGCGGTTCCCCAAGAAGGCGACTCGTATGAACGAAATTTGGGATTATAGGTTCGTGTGGTGTGCGGTTAAGGAGTGAAATCCAACATTAATGTATCAAACTAAAATTATCTTTTATTCAAGTAAGTAAATTAACTATAATTGCTCTGAATATAACAATAGGTACGGCTCGAATATATAATACAATAAGAAATTATAATAGGTACGCCCTAGATAGTGAAATACAGTGGAAAATATATGATTAGTAGTTAGTAAGTAATAAGTAATAATAACGCGACTTGATCTTCGAATACAGCCAACACTCTGTACAATTTGCCAAGTTACACTAAGTACTGGAAAACTATATTCTAGTAGCTTGTATGATACCTTCAGACACGAGCGGACTATACCTACAGGTCGCAATCGGTTTCTGGTCTAGCCAGAGCTATGCTAATACAGGCCTGCTCAAGGAGCTCCGCTCCTCGCTAGCTCTTTACACTTGAACGTGTGACTTAGTATTAGCACGTGTTCAACACGTTGCGTACCATGAATAGGGTGTCCACAGATCCGAACTCTCGTACGTCACCACTGAAAGAGAAGGATAGAGCTAATCTCGCGCTCTATAGTTGCCTAAGCAATTCAGCGCAAGCTTTTCCTCTACTTCCAGAGTATTGTCTGCATTTGACCGAAGTCAGGGAAGATCTGATCTGATTCTGCGTGGAACGCCTCTATTTATAGTCAGATTCTGCTGACTTGGCGCTTTTTTTCATTATAGGGTTCCTCTAGATTTCTGGAATTCCCCATCACGTGACGACCGAGCACCCCTGCTCCTTAGTCTATGCGATCACCCTACTCTAAAATCTCACCCCACCGCTAGATCATCGGGGTTGCGCTGGCGCGTATCTGTTTATCGATCATTTATCGATAATCGACTTACCGACCGACTTACCGACTAATCGCTTATCGACTTATTCAATTAGACTATGTTATCGATCAATGAAAATTATTTATTATAAGAATAATACAATTTAAACTAAATACCTTTTTTTAACAAACTTAACTAAATATAAAAAAATTAAATTATCCATTTTGTACAAAATTTGAATTAAAAATATATTATAATAATAAAAATGAAATGAAAAAATGCTGGGTCTTCTTAGCGGGTCGTTACAATACATATAACCTAACATGTGTCAAACTATAAAACACAACCAGCATTTTGTAATGTGACATCGCTGTAATATTTACTGAATCCAGTTACTAGATGTTTTAAACTTCTCGAAAGTCGATTGTTTTGAAAATTGTCGTTACTAAGTTGTCAATCACCTGGCGAGGTTGTTGTCCCGATGACGTCGCCTGTCTATGACTGACAGAGACAACATCATCGGGTCGTTGGCCTGATAGCTGACAGTTTGAGAAAGTAAACACTCTCGGTTTTGGCAGGAGCATGACAAAACCTATCTCCGTGTATCGCCAGAAAATTTTGAAGTACTGGACATTACCAAGAAAAAGAAATGTAACTGGCACAATATATTGTCGGATTACATGTAATTAATATTATCTAGTACAATTGTCAAGAAATTTAGTGAATTCCGTTTTGTAAGATTTTGCCGACGGTGAAATAAAACTAATTGATAGTAATTAAATATCCTTTTCTATCTTTTCTCCATAAGTCTTTTTTGAACAAGATTGTTTCTAAATGTTTTAATAGTTTTTCTAATTAGTCTGAACAATGGAATATTTCAGTTGGACTGTTGTAGTCGAATGAAATGAATTTGAGATTTGTAAACACAAGTGATACAAAATGGATGAAAGTGAATAGTGAAGTAACAACTCTGATATTACAACTTTTTTTTGATTTATGAATTTTTACACAACAAAAGTATTTATTTGTAAGTAGAAAAAGACAATGTGAACCATAAATTAAACTGTATATTAAGGAAATTGGGACAGGAAATTGGAATTTAAGAGTCTCATTTTCTGCTATATATTTGTTTATGTCAAATATGTTGGCATTACATGGTTTTTATAGTTCATGATTTGGAAGACAAATTTATCTAATTTAATAATCCTCTTCTTTGGATAGTTTGTTCACTGCATCTATCAAATTTTTCTACTCCATAAATTCTTTGTTATAATTTCCTCATCAATGTCTGAATAAATGCTGAAAATAAAGAAAAGAAATCATATTATTACATATTGCTACATTAGTACTCAACAACATTAATTTGGAATAAGAATGTATTGAAGAAAATAACGGTTTAACATTTCTTTACCTTAAACATACTTCCAGATATATCTTGTAAGAAAGAAACTGCATTCAATTTCCACATTTCTTTCACTCTAACCTTTACCTGTCAAATGTTACAAATAACTATTTGACCTTAGTTATGAGACAAGCGTATTGTCTCCGTTTCATCCAATTAAGGTGATGAGAGCCACTCAAATCAATAGAGGCTGTGGAAATGGTAGATGTGAATAGATTTCACAGCGATAGTAATATACCTTTAATGCACAAAAACTACTTACCAAATAAGGTTAAATATGTATATCCAACTTTTAATGTGGCTGCAGCTTAATTACTTATTGATAAAACTCTTTATATGCTGCTCTTACTGCGGTAAATAGATAGATATTACTTTGCAATGAAGAATGCTACGCACCATGTCTGGCGCATTTTCAAGCACTTATGCACTACTAATGAAACAAAACAAACTAGTACATTTGCATAATTAGGCAATATTATCGTATCTTTTGTCCTATTACATGCAATACGTGGATGAATGATCCTCTGATATCTTAATAACCACCTTGTAAATATTCCTCTACTCTAACCTATACCTGTCAAACGATATACATAATTTACTAACCTTAGTTGTTTTATGACACAAGCATTGCTACACACCGTGCTAAGTCGAATTGTGAAGAAACTGGACATCTCGTTTCTTACACTATTTTGTTAAAAAATATAAGAATGTTTCGCACAAGCCTCAGCATAAAATCCACATACAAATTAAATTCACTTCCAAATTTAATATCTTTGACCATATATGTAATCATATACTTCAGCATGCATACGCATTCAAATAGAATAGGAATTTGAATCGACGAACAATACCACCATCTGCCGACTCCCAAAAGCAATGATTTTAAAACATATGGCGTCCAAAAGGAACACGTCCAATCGGGCATCACTCACTGCTGCGACATACAGTATATACAGGGTGTACCAAAAGGAAGATTTCAAAAACTATAGAGTTTGAAAAAAAATGTTTGGAACAACGGTGACCTCCTTAGCAAGTCAATCTGACCATAAGCCATGTACATGCTCGAACGTACAATTTTCTGTGCTTTCCATTTCCGTGGTGAAAACTATGAGTACCCATAGAAAAACATCGGTTCAAACTTCAAATGACCTTGATCCGTGACCTCGGGGTCAACACATAGGTCCCTTAAGGATGCAGCCTCAGAAACCCTACAACTTTTGTCCGAAACATTTTGCTCTAAAGTCCATAGTTTACGAGATATTTAAGGGGTCCCCTTATTTTGAAACGCCCTCTATAATTTAAATTTAAAGCCAGAGCATCGAAACGAATTGGTTCCTGTAGGGTGTCTCTTGCGCACTTTCACGACGCAAAAAAAGTTTTACTCGTTACGTGTTTTCTTCAAAAATGTTTAAAAAATCCCGCTACCCTCTATTTGACCATAAGTCGGGTACATGGTCGAACGTAGAATTTTCCGTACTTTCCATTTCTGGGGTCAAAAATATGGGTAACCATATGTCACGTCCGGAAAATTTTACAATTTGTCCGCCTCACGTTCCCTTATCAGCTTCGGTTGTTAGGAGTCTCCTCGTGTTAAGGGGCGTGGGGGAGGGCAATTACTTCTGCAACCTTTCTTTAATTTCTCTTGACTCTGTGCTTTCCAATCAAGCCTTCGGGTTGTAAGAGACTTCTTCATGTGGAAATCGCACAGGGAAAAAGTTTGAGCTTATAATTATTCTACTTTTGTCTTTTCATCCTTTCATTCTTCGCATACTTCTCAATTCTTTTCTTAGTTAAAAACCCCTCCTTGAAACTATCGTCGTGCTCAACTGCGTAGTAACAGAAACTTGTGATAGAAAAACTTCGGCTTCGACCGAGGAGAGGTATCATAAACACCGTTCGCGGCGCGGTTAGCCAGTGCTTCGCATTGTAGGGGTCTCCTCAGGCTAACTGCGCAAAAACGCAAAGATTACGTTTATTGCCGAAATTAACATTGATACTCTCCTCTTTTTCACGCGTGGGCGCCAGTCGGTCCCTAACCCGATCGCGTGTATGAATTGATTGCTGGAATGAGAACGCAAAGCAATCTAGCTCGTTGAATATTTGTATGAATGCGAGAGCGAGGAATGAGAACCTTGCAGGCAAACGTTAGCAAGCGTTCGAGGACTGTTTAGAGGCAAAGGGTCGTACGGGGCAATAAAAGTCTTTGTATCGAATTCCGAGAATTTGCCTGAAACCGAAAACCTAACGGTAATTTTCGAATGGTGAGAACGTTCTCGAAGCAACTACGTCGCAAATGTAATAACGAATATTCGATTAATAATGGAAACCTGTCGTTATTGAAAAATAGCAATCGAACACCGAATGCCTTATATCGAGCGTACCGGCGCAATTCATATTGTTGATCGATTTCTCTGCGAACAAATGATTATGAACAAGCCGATTGTTAATTAAGAAACCACGCGATCATCGGTTTCATTATCCGTACGCAATGGTACTACGAATGATTCAATTATTTACATTCTTAAAGTTCAACAGTTCCGATTTAAACTATAGTTGATAATCGATATTTGACATCGAAATTATCACTGAGAATAGAACATTCCAGAAATTCCACAGCGTAGAAACACCGAAAAGCCGTTAGACAGAGATGGAACACCAGAAGAGAGAGAAAGTATGATCTAGTGGAATTTAGCTAGCACGCGCCCCTGGCCAATAGCGACACGCGCGACGCTGTCGTTACGCGCTATGATTTGTCGAGATGTCCCCACGCAGGACATTGTCCTCGTGACGGGCCCTTCCGCCTAGGATCGCGATCGATTCTGATCACTCTTCGTCGAACAATCGAGTAAGTCGTGACGGGAGCCCGTGTGTCTAGAGATAGAGTTGTCGTTCGTACTTCGTTGTAATTTACCTGCGCGGCAAGACCTACGAATTAGGCAGAGTGTCGTGAGAGTGAAATTCCGGATACGCGGCAAAGACTCAGAGACGCGCACGTAAAGCCTTTTCACACTTCTAAATTTCTATCTTTTCTCTTTCCTTTTAACTCGTTTGCTCGCGTAATTTCCGTATTAAATTTACTCGCGTTACTATTATATTATTTTGAAGAGCGTAATCGTCTTGTGTTTCGTCTATTAATTTTGCAATAAACGACAACCGGGCGCGCGACAAGTGTAGTGCCGCCACAGATTTCTCAACCTTTCTTGGTGTTCCAGATCAACCAGCGATTTGCAACGATCAACCAGCGAATTTATAAACGATTTTATCATATATTATACTCTACATTCTCACGATAAGCCTGTTCAGTACTAATTTGTCGAGCACGGCATTATAATTGATTTTCAACAAGGCAAAACGGGCGATCTATTAAGCCTTCGGGTTATGAGAGTCTCTTCATTTTAGATCGTCCTGTTTTTACGTTCAGGTACCGAATTATATAATATACATTCTGGATATATTTGCATTTTCTACTATCACTATTTTTGTGAGACGATTGTTTCGACTTCAGAACCTTATCAGGGACGGCCTGTAAAGCCCTTTCGGGGGTTGTGAGAGTCCCTTCATTCAGGTCGTTTCCTTGCGGATTGACACCGCCAACTTTTCATTTTCTATCAAGTCGAGTCAGTCGTCAAACATTAAATTTTCAACTACCAATCCGTTTAAATTATATTGGAAACTCACATTGCGAATCAAAGGAAAAGCGCCTTTCTGGTCAAATCACGTTATAAAATAGGTTAAGCATCTTTACCCTTGTTAACCAGTATTGTTCTAATTTGAATTATCAGTATTTAATAGAATTTATTAGTATTCATTCAATAGTCATTTTAAATTCAGTTTCTGTTAGCTTCACTATCCAATAGTCATTTTTGAATTAAATTTATTTTCTTTTGCACACTAACCAGTTTAATCATTTTCTTTCAACCACCTTTACCATTTCAAATCCACGCATACCAACACAAGGTTTCAAGGAGGGACCCGTATGGGACCCAGAGCGCTGACGAACCCAACGGGAATTATCACTATCTAAATTTTCCGTCTTTTAATTTTTGTTCTGACCGTAGAGGACGTTACCGCGTCATACGCGGTCAGAACTGGTGGCAGCGATACCTTTCTCATCGCCCAAAAATAAGAATAAACTCATCTTTCTTTTACGTTGCGCGCTCTCGCAACTCGCAACGTAACCATAGCAAAAAGTCGACTCAAACTTCTACTGACCTTGACCCGTGACATCGGGGTCAACACAGAGGATACTGTAGGATGCAGCCTCTGAAACCCTACAACTTTCGTCCGAAACTTTTCTCTCCAAAGTTCATAGTTTCTGAGATATATCGTGGTACCTCTTTTTTTGGAACGCCCTATATAATTCAAATTTAAAGCTACAGCAACGAAAAAAATAGCTACTTTTAGGGTGTCGCCTGAGCATTTTCACGAGCCCAAAAAAATAATTCGGCGCTTTTTTTTCAAAAATTAAAAAAAAAAATTTCCCCCACCACGATTTTTGAAATTTTGTATTTTTGGGTACATGTACACTTCGAGCCCTTTCCAACGATAGTACTCGGGGGTAGCACCTGCCATAAGCTGGGAATAGGGATGACAATAATATGGTTACCTTAAGCGAGTCATAGTATAAAACTCCCGCCGTTTACACGCGCATTTTTGAATTTCTTCACGTTGACATTCAGAGCACTGGGCAGAAATCACATTGCGTCATCACCCGTGAGGGCAATCGCAATGCTTTGTTTTAATTAGACAGTCGGATTCCCCTAGTCCGTGCCAGTTCAGAGCTAAGCGTTGAATGGCGGCCGAAGAAGCGACCACGACCTCAAGCGTAACCGCCACGGAAGCCTCTTTTTTTTTTAGTTTATATTGGAAGAGGAAATGCGCTTACGCACGCGCAGGTGATCCCCTTGTCACACTATTCGACTAGAGGGGGACGATTGCGCACAGCTCCTTTGGACACAGTATTATTGGGCACACTAAGAATTGGGCACAGCTCTATTGCGCACGTGCAGAATATCGCACAGTTCAGTTGGGCAGCGTAAAAATTGCGCAGAGTATCAATTGGACATGGAATTAAATTTGTGCGCTCGTTTCCCTTCTTATGACGTGATTATTTCTAATATAGTGAGGACGGGTTTTTATCGGAATATTTGAACGTTAGACGATTGGCTCGATCAAATAGAAAAATGAAACTTGGCGGTGTCTACCCGGAACGAAACGATCTGAATAAAGAGGCTCTTACAACCCCCGAAAGGGCTTTCCAGATCGTCCCTGATAAAGTATTGAAATCGAAGCAATCGTCATACACAAAATCGCGATGGATGAAAATTCGAAATATTAATATAATGTATAATATACGGTTCAGTACCTGAACGTGGAAAACAAGACCATCTAAAATGAAGAGACTTTTATAACCCGTAGGCTTAATAGATCGCCCGTTTTGCCTTGTTGAAAAATCAATTACAATGCCGTGCTCGACAAATTAGTACAGCAGAGGCTTACCGTGAGAACGTTGAATATGATATACGATAAAAATCGCTTTGTGAATCGCTGTATGCTCGTTGAATAAATCGCTGTGAAATCTGGAACACCAAGAGAGATGATCGGATCGTTGTTATACTCGCACTTGTCGCGCGCGCGGTTGCCGATTGTATTACGATTAACAATTAAGCAAGACGTTCACATAGACGTTTACGAAATTCGAAAAAATTTTAAATAATTAAACGTGATGAATTTAATACGAGAAATTACGTGATCGAACGGATTAAAAAGAAAGAGAAAAGATAGAAATTTAGAAGTGTGAAAAGGCTTAACGTGCGCGTCTCTGAGTCTTTGCCGCGTATTCGAAATTTCACCCTCGCGACAC